GCTGATGTACTATCCAGGATATAATGTTGTTTATCTCACTGTGGTATTGTCAGTTGAAGAAATGTTTTATGTAGGATTTTATGGGGGAGGGTGTTACGGTCACTGACCTCTAGGGGCTCTCTTCATGAGAGAGTCCTCTCTCTCTGTGTTTCAGATGCACAGGTGAAATGTGTTGGAGCTCATCAGCCACTCCATAAAGAGCTTCATACAACCAGTGTTGGATCCCTTCTTGTTTGGGCCTTGACCTGATCTGACACTTTACTGGTGACTGAGTGATTTTGGCTGTGAGCCTTTGAAGTGTGTTAACCAAAACCTGTTGTTTTGTTTTTTTTTTCACAGTGGAAGCTGGTAGGGGTTCTCTGCCATTTGTGTTCAACCATTTTTCTCCTGTTTTGATGGCTAGCCAGGGAGTTCAGGTTTTGTACTTTCTTTTTCCTATTTACCATTAGAAAGTTCTTTTTAATTTCTTAGCTAGACAGGGGGGGGGGTGTTTTGTTTGTTATTTTGGCCTTGGAGACCCTGAAGATAAATACTTCCCTGTGTTCTGTTCTTTGTTTTAGTTGACTTACCTGCACTGTAAATAATGATCCACATTTTGCTACAGACAACTGTTTGTTTTTTTGTGTTACAACCAGCGCCAGATTTTACCCTTATTGGTCTTGGGGGGGGTTGTAACAGTGAATGATGCACACTATTCAATTTATTTATTTTATTTTTTTTTTGCAGTGATATATTTTCTTTAGCACCAGCTTTAGCATTGTGGAGGCAGATTTTTTATTTGCCAGTTCCTTAACTGCTTCGTCAGATGGTTGGGGAGGGGGGGGTGAGGAGTGTGTGTAAAGAGTAATTTTCAAGTTTTGCCAAAAATTCTCAATGGGATTTAGGTGTAGACTTTGACTGGTCCAGTGTAATTGTGAAGTTGCTCAGATATTAAATATTCCATAGTGACTTCCGAACTGTATGTTGAGAGTAATCCTACTGGAAGATGAATTTCCACCCAAATCTCAAGTCTTGTAGAGTCCAATACTATTCACTTGAGTAGTTCAAGTGGATTTTTGTTGTAGGGGAATCAGGTTTTAAGGGACAGAATGCAAATCCATACAAATAATATCATGTTTTCCTCTAAATAAATAAAAGCATCACATTTCACTTTCACTTCGAAGATACACACAAAATGTTTGGTAGCGCATATTGCATAAAACCACAGAACAATACATTGACTTGTGGATTTTTACTGCGACAACATGCGTATTTTAAGGAGGATGAATGCAGGGTCGGCGCATCTTTCAGTCTGCGCGCGAACGGTTCTCTGCAAAAACCTTTTGAAGAGATGTGAGGGAGTTCGGAGCTGGTCCGCCTGGTCGTCGGATACCGAGCGGACCTCCTCATCCCCCCTCACCACCCCACCCGGGTGTCTTCGCTCGCAGGAATGAGAGTGATGAGAGAATGTAGCAGAGATCACATCTGTGATAACACATTAGGAGAGCCACCTGCTCTGGTTTCGCAGTCGCCGTGCAAGTATGAATCATGTGCTTGTCCCTGAAAGGCACAGAGACGGACAAGGACTTTTTCTCTTTTTTTCTTTTTTAAATCGTTTCAGATCGTGGTGGATTTTTTTCTTCTTCTTCTTTAGTGTGTAGACAAAGACAGCAGAAGGGAAATAAACACAAACGAGGCCAGATACAGTATGTTTGTTGAACATGAAGTAATTAAGTTTCCTACAGTAATTATGATTCAGTTATGTGAAATTCCAATATATTTAATGATGTCCTTCTACAAGCCAATACGGCCTTTTTTAAAAATCTTTTTCCCAGAACTTACACCTGCGTGGTACCGGAAAGGAGACATTTTTTTGTTTGTTTGTTTTTAATACTCCTTTTGGCAGCATTGAAGGGTTTTCCTTCCTTCCTGTCTGAACTGACGGAGTTGCACATGCTCCTTGGTGGCTTTTACAAATAGCCCCGTCCCGGCTGGAGGTATGCTTGATGAGCTTTCACAATCTCAGCCCTAGAGCCGGGTAGCAAAGAGGTCACGGGTGGAATTATCTGCTTGCACAAGGGGAGGGGAAAAACGCTGCAATCTGATAGCCGAGGGGCCGAAGAGTGGGGCACAGAGACAGGGACAGACAAAGACAGAGGGGGAGAGCAGAGGGGGAAGTCAAGACACACAAGAAAAAGAAAAGGGGCCAAACTAAATTTGGTGCCCCTTTTTTTTATTATTATTATTATTTTCATAAGCTTTGCAACTTCAGAACTCCTGAATGTCCATCCTGATCTCTCACTGTGTTTTGGAATGTTGTCTTTATTGTGAGAATGTCAATGAAAACTTGCCTTGCCTCAGATTTTAACCACTTGGGTGATCATTGGGGTATCGGATGGATCTGCTGTGGAACTTCATCTCAAATTCTGAGATCCTTAAAAAAAAAAGATGAGCACAGTTATACTTTGACAGAATCAGAGGTGGAAGGCCGACTGATCACCATTGTCCCATCGCCATATGGGCAAAGGGCCCTCTATGAACAACCCCCTCTCCTCTCTCTCTGTTTTCATTGACATTTGCTGCTGTGCACCCTTGCTTATCTGCTGTCATTCACCCTCGTGTGCACACACACCGTTAGAGAAGAGATACACAAAGTTAATCCACCAATGCAAACACAAGGAGTGTGTCCGCAGGCACCGACGCGGCCTAAACGCTGTGAGGTAAAGAGCAGCTTGGCCCAAAAGCCCCACAACTCACAAGCTCGCCTGCGCTCGGACAGTCTGGCATCGCATCAGGCGCCGATGAGGAACTCTGGGATTTAGGTTGTGGTGCGGAGCGATGTGTCAGGAAGCGCCAGGGGTTAATCATCAACACCTCCGCTGAAGCTCGCGGCTCCGGATCTTTCCGAAACGAATCGGACCCCTTCTGCTACTGTTACCACACGTCCTTCAGTCTTTGTGTACACACCGGGAAACTTTGGTCTCTCAGTGCCGTAACGGACAGACGGTCGGGGTGTCGCCAGCGCCAGCAGTTGTGGTCGGCGGCGAGATTCTCGTGCTGACAAACCTTGAGTGACAGCACCTCAGATTCACTGCATTAGTTTTGGGACAAAACATGTTCTTAAAACAGAAAAGGCAACAATGATTCATACAGCTGCAAAAACAAATACAAACTGCTTCGCATTCTCATCTAGAACATGTATTTGTTGTTTTGATGCGATGGTTTGAAGAAATGTTTCCCACTTTCCCAATTTTCTGGGATTTATTTATTTATTTTTTTGCACATTTCGCCGCGCATCACAAACTACTTTTTGATGAAATACAACACAAGTCAACTCAAAATGCAGTTTTTATAATAACAGTCAAGCGTTTGTGATGTCTTGCAGTGGGTCTTTTCCAGCTGCACAGGAGCGTTGGACTTTTTAAGGTCATGCCACAGCATCTCAATAGGATTCAGGTCAGGACTTTGACTAGGCCACCCCAAAGTCTTCATCTTGTTTTTCCTCAGCCATCAAGCGGTGGAAAGGCCGCTGCGTTTTAGCTGGGCGTTCAGGTCCTGCAGCAGCAAAACCGTCCCAGACCATCACACCATGTTTTACTGTTGGTATGCCATTCTCTGTGTGAAACGGGTGCTACTTTTATGCCAGATGCAGCAGGACACACCTCTTCTAAAGAGTTTAGCTTTGTCCCGCAGATTGTTTCCTCATAAGTCTTGGGGATCAGCAAGATGTGCTCTGGAAAAACTGAGACAAGCCTTAATGTTCCTTTTGCTCAGCAGTGGTTTATGTCTTGGAACGCAGGCAATTTCCTCGAGATGGAGGCATGACCTCTGACCCTAACTGAGGCGAATGAGGCCTGCCGTTCTTTGGATGCTTGTGACCTGTTGGACGAGTCCTTGCTCTGCTGTTGGCGTCATTCTGCTCAGTCGGCCCAAGTTAACTGATAGATGATAGAAAAAATAGAAGCAAAGAAAAACACATTGATGTTCTTTTTTTTTTTTTATTATTCTGACAGACTGATATAGCAACACTCATCAGGAATATCACTGTCCTCTTCACAAGTTGTTACCATAGCAGCAGCACCTTAAAGTATTGTATGTGTAAAGTTTATATCTACAATGTTCAAAGTAGAGTGTAAAATATTAGAGGCCACTAGGGTTAATGCCAAAGGTCACTATGATACTAAATTGCTCCATCTGAATGTTGTCCTAAGTGTTTGAAAGATGTCCTCTGTGAGACACTGAAACATCTGCCAGCAGGCGGATAGCTCGAAAGTCTTCGCTAACACTGTATGCGTAGTTCCGCTGAGCACTTTTGACATCAAGTCAGACAAATATGTTCTACATTAGTTATGCAGATCTGTTCACACGGAGAATCTGTCACTGAAATTGATGGAATGTTTTGAGAATGCGTCTCTCATCTGGAGGCCTCCATGTTTGCTCTCACAGTCCGTAGTAGGGTGAGTTTAACTAGAAGCTTTATTATCGGTGCCAGTCTTGTTTGGGGTTTTCAGAACTATGCTGGCTTGTACTCTTTTTTTTTTCTGTTTTTTTCAAAGCCCTTGGTCTCCCACCTCTGTCTTCTTTATGTGTTTTCTCTCTTTTGATCCACCCGCGTACCTTTTCATTGCAGTCAGGACTAAAGCTGAAGTGGTGAGGGACACTTGGAGCTGTTTTGTTCGTTCTTCTCACCCCCACCAACATGTAGGGGGGTGGGGTCAGAGGTCATAGGTTCACTGGCTTTACTCAGTGCTGCCATCTGGTGCTTCACATTACTCCTCGGTCACACATATTCTTTCGTTTCAATTGAGATTGAACTTTTAAAGGTGTCTGCACAGACAAGTAAGTTATAACTTGTGTCATAGAAATTGCAAAATGGTTTGAAGAGATACTAGACTGTTTGAAACCATGTTGCAGTTTTAACCCAACTAACAACATGGCAGTGAATTGGCCAATTGTCAATCCTATATTGGTGTTTGGCCTCATTCAATGGGTTATACATTGTTGCTGTTTTTCCTGTGTAGGTCTGTCCAGCTTCTATGAGGAGCCGTCACCACAAACGGTGACCGCTGGGGGTTCTGCTCGGTTCGAGTGCCAGATTGAAGGAATACCCACACCTGTCATAACATGGCAAAAAGACAAAGTGACTGTCACTGACGAGACAAGGTAAGTTGTGCGTTAGACGGAAGTGCATTTAATATTCTCACGCAGATGTTGCTGGTGAAAGGAGATATGCAGACTGCCTTACAAAAAATATTTTGCATCATTACTGTCACGCATTTTATTCGGATTTTACGTGACAGACCAGCACAGAGTAGCACGTACTTTTGAAGCGCAAAGGACGAGAGTCCAGGTTTTTATAAATCGATAGGGGAAAGAAAATCAGAAAAAGTGTGGTGGACCATTTCACTCTGACACTGCCAGAGGACAGAGGACAGAGGACAGCCAAAGGTATAACGAAATTTTTTGGCTTCATATCATTGACTAGCCCAGTGAAAGTCCAGACCTGGATCCACTTGAGAATTCATGGCAAAACATTAAAACTGCTCTACAGACAGAGGAAGAGCTTTTTTTTTTTTTTGCAATTAAGAATCGATGTGTGCAACTGCAGGAAACAAACCACAACAACAACCTGCAACCAAAGGTTCCACAAAATTGACTGAAATGCAGGATACACTCTTTTTTTGTGAATTCAGATTTTTAATTTTTTCAAAAATAAAACGCAGTAAAATATGTTTTATATGTTTCCTTTTGCTCATATTGTATCCCAGTAATAAAATGACAAACATCAGCAAGCATATTTTAAAGAGTATGATAACGATCGCAGCATCTATTGCGGATCTGCATTTGCTGAGGGATCGACTTTAGTGAAACAAGACAATGTAACCCTGCAACATTTATACGTTTGTGCACATCTTTGCTGGCAGTGATGTGACCTCAGGAGACAAACACTCATCTTCGACGCTTGGCAAGTGTCTGCTCCTATTGAACAGTCGTGTTTCTTTCCATCACTACAGCTCAATGTTGGGGTGGTGTAGCCGTGGCATTGTTTACAACCCTTTAAGAGCCGAGTGGAGGTGTTGTTTTCTTTCTCTTGGTCAAAAACTGGACCGGCATAAATGGGGACATCTGAGAGCAAGGCTTGTTTTAAAAGCGACATGATTAAGAGGCTCTCTGAAGTGGAAACATAACATATTTGTAATAGTCTTCTGTGTGCTAAGAGAATATATAAAAATATAATTTTTATAAAAAAATCCAAATATGTGACTCTTGAAAAGATCTCCTTTGCCAATGCTCTCAAAAATAATCTCATTTATGGCTTAGCGAAGTAGACATTTTGCTGAGGCCCTGGGGTCAGTGAATTTCTTTTCAGTCTTATTACGCAGATCGAACTGTTAATGTCGGCGATATCGCGGCATGACCTCCAGACAGGTTGCTGCTTAAAAGGTCTTATTGATGTAATGTGGTTCTCCCACCCCAGGCAGTATTAAAGGGTCTCTCGCAGAAATCGGTCAAAGGATGGCTGATGAAACAGAGGCTTTTTTTCTCTTTTTGTTACCTCTTGCTTTTAGGTGATTTTCTTTTTTTTCTCGCTTAGACCCTCTGCCATCTCTTAGGTATTATCTCCTTGTCCTCAATTGCTGTTAACCTTCCCCCTCTCCTTTGCTCACCATGTTCATCTTTTCTTGTCATTTGCTTGTCCTATTCACAGCCTCTCCTTAGTCACTCTCTGTTGTAAACTTTTCTCACGTCCCTCTCTGCGTCCATTAAGCCACTCACGGTTTGGTTATGTCCGCTGTCTTGCAGCATGAATCGTCTCGGACTTGATTTATTAATTTTTTTTCATTTTCAGAGGCGACGTTCGTGTGTGCGTGTGTGTGTGCGCCACCAGAATTTTTCCATAGGATTCAAATCTTGTATTTGAACACAGAACTTCTGTTAATTACTTTGTGAGTTATTCTCTTAACTGTAAGCAGGTGATGCAAATAGCACCTACCTTTTGATAATTGCGGTTGGGATTTATTTAAGTGGATGCTTCCTCCAGGAACCTGATGAGGTAGAAGCAGAAGAAATGGGCGAGCATGAGGCTTTGACTTGCTCAGATCGTCTCTGTGGGCTGTTTCTGTTCCGCTTTGGTCAGAATCCATCAGAACTAGTTGGACTCCAAGGCACACAGTTGCATCCAAGTAGCAAGGTTGGTTCGTGTGGTCTGATCCAACAGCCAGCTGTAGCTCAAATTGCTTATCGACACAATAAGGTGCCAAAAAGCGGGGGGAAATGATTTCATTTGAAGTACAACAAGTTGGAGGTCTTCAATCATTCTTTGTTTTCCCCCTGATAAACAAAGGTGAGTCCTATAGGACTTCATGTCCATGTGTCAATGTGTTAGGGTTGTTTCAGCAGAAAAGGGAGACCAACACAAAGCTAGTTTGTTTTTAGTGCATAGCTAGTAACTAAAGTCCTGTCAGGTCAAATCTCTATTTCATTAATAAAATAATTTGGAAAACTACAAAACAGTAGAGTTCATCAGCCTGCTGCTTCATGGATCAGTGTACAAAGTCATTTATTGTATTCTCTGTCTTATGCTTTCTGTATTTTTTTACTTGTTTTGCTTTTCCCTTTGGAGCAACAGGTTCATTTCTCTTCCTAATGGGGTGCTGCAGATTCTGAAGGTGACTAAAGAAGATGAGGGCCTCTATCGCTGCGTGGCATCCAATTCTGAAAGGAAGAATATCAGCAGCGAAGCTAGACTCACTGTCACGACAGGTGAGGTCTGCTGCTCTGCTTTACAGTGTTTCAATAGGGAACCTGGCTCATGCGAAGGTTTATGTTTTTTAAGTGTCCTTGGGCTTGGGGTAAAATCCAGGTAGGTGAACAGAGCGAAAGGAGATACTGTGAGAAACATGGCTTGTTAAAATTTGCCACGTTGAAATGTTGCATTTAGGAGAGCTGGGGCAGCTTGACCAAGTGGGACAATCAGGCACCGCCGGAGAGTCCTGCTGCTCATTTTAGGCTGCAGCTAAATAAGACGACCGGAATGAAGTAAGCCTTTGACACAGCAGCAATCAAAAGCGCAGCAAAAGAGGCGACAGGATCAAGGAAAGAGAGAAAAAAGAAGAAAAAAGAAAATCATACTAAGAATACTAAATTATCACTCAGCACTTGATGGAAAATATCTGCCTATTGTATATTGTATCTAACCTTATGCGAGAGTTACGTTCTGACAGATTATATCAATTATTGATCAATAAAACTGCTGAAACGCCAAAAACGCAATGATTGCGTCTCCATGTAACTCCTTGAATAGGCTGAACATCAACACTGCGTCAGTTGCAGTGACGTTTCACATCCCTGGCGCTCTGTGACTCAAGGTGATTCACAAGACATTGTTCACCTTCAGTGGATCCTCAGAGAGCTGCTCTCTGGTTTCACACTGTGGCACAGGGGAGGTCGTCCATCTAAGTAAACCACATTAATGTAGCACTACAAGAAAGGTTGCATGCTGGCAATACAATTATAAACCACGTATTGGTTTTATTATTGAGGGAGCGTGACATCCTTATCCAATAGGGTGACCGTGTGTTGTAGTATCTGTTACCAGGCGATGTGATTTTTTAAAATAACTGCGTGTTTAAATGAGATTAGTTCAACCAAGTCAGTGTAGTGAAAACTGGATGCCTCATGCAGCTCAAACCAGATGTATTTGCATATGGTTGATCGAAAGAGGCATGCTCGGTTTTACATTAATTCAGACTAAGCATTTCCTGTTTTCAGCTGGTGACAATTCAAATAGTTTCTCCGATCTCCGAATGTGGAAATATTGAAATATCTAAAAATATATTCCAGGAATTTAAAACTTGGGCAGGGGCCTTCCGATTGAAAGTGGCCCTCATTATATTTGCAATTCAGTTGCCAAGTGGCTTAATGACTACACTACCAAATAACAAGGAAATGTGTTGAAGAATGAGTTTAATAAACCTTGCATACCACTACATTTGGCCAGGCTCAGTAAACCGAAATGTGTCATTTCACGTCACTGTAATACTGACTAATTGAGACAACTTAGCGGATAATAACAGACGCCCGATTTTGATTGAGGAACTTTTTAATTTAGCTCATCCAAAGTCTAACAAATTGTTCTTGTTTCAGCTGCCTCAAACGCTAACCTTCTGGACATGGAAGAATCTATTTCTAAAGCTATACGGGTCAGACGATAGCATAGAGAGTTGTTGACTATCAGCTGAAGTATTCCAAGAACTTGAGCATCAAGAGCTTTCTGAGGGTAGAGTTACTTCAGCTATGTCCAAAACCGGAGCAGGCGAAGAAGTCACAGGGCATTGATGAAAATAGGCCGGAGGCCGATGGTGCCAAAATACAGGAATTGTCGCACTGAACGGCAGTGTTTTATTTCTTTTTCTTGTGGAGGATCCGGGGGGGTATTTTATGGTTTGCATCATGTATGAGAAGTTCATGAAGTGATGGTTTCTGACAACCACATGTCCTCAACAGATCCCACGTGGAAAAAAAATGTCAACGTGATTAAAAAGTAAAATGTAAAACTCATACTCTTTTCTGATTCCCAAATCACCTTGAGGTTCATAAAATTAATTTGTCAAGCCAATTATTTAGACTATATGTAGACGTATGAAGTGAAAAAGTTAAATTTTTAACATATTCCACTTAAAATACTATCGATTGCTTTTACAGTCGATCAACTTCTTTTCATTTTAAGTCAGTTTAGATTGTAAGCAGAGGACTATTAGCTATATTCATATATGACTTTTGGGGTTTAAAATCAAGTTGCTTGACAAACGACTTCCTGATGAAATGCTTTCTCATCAAAAGCATTTCATTCGCAAAGCTTTTGCGAATGAAAAAGCTGTGACGACCTTTGATCGGGTCGTCGCATACAGGATTCATTTACATTTTCATTGCATGTCCTTCAACACTACTTTGCTTGAAATATATGCAGAAGTCTTTATTCTGAAATGTTGTTGGCAACATTCCTCTGCTTTCAGGCTCTTGGCTTTTTCTTATTATTGAAGATATCAGTCTCCTGCGGTCATTCAATCCAGTGAACTGGGTGAATTATTGGCAGTCACAATAAAGGTTGATGTTTAAAACAAATTAACTTTTTCTTTTCGTTTTCTCTGCTGCTTTTTGGCCACACTCAAGTGTTTCAAAATGTGCCAGAGAAGATATTAAACGTGCAAACCAGATGATGATTGTATATATTAAATGGAAAGGAAGTTTTACTGGTCCTGGGTCAAATGTAATTACCTTTGTGACTTAACATCTTTTGAATGACTTATACTCGTCACACCAAAGCCTGATCACAATCCCTTTAAACAGATTCAGGGTGAGGGGCAAAGTAAGACATGTCAAAATACACCCTGATCTCAAAGAAGTCGATAAATCACATCTATTCACAAAAGGATTGCAAAGGCATTTCTATGGCTTTGCGATGCCTTCAAAGCATAGTGAGAGCAACAAATAAAGACACCATTAAATCGGAGTGAACCTTCCTGGTGTGGCTGGCCTAAAAAAATATTGCAAAAATGCATCCACAAGGTCGCAGAACAATAACTAAAGCAATGCGAGCCTTCCTCGCCTCAGTGAGATTTCCAGGGCAAAAATCACTGCTGACAGAAAAATAACTCCAAATATGTCAGAATCAGCTGCAAGGTTGTGCACACAAAACAAGAAATTTGACATCTGTTCTGCTCCTGCTGCAAAGACTTTGAAAATGTAAGTGCACAAAAAGGACATTTGCCAGTAAAGAGCAGTCACTCGTCCACATGGTGTTGCTGATGAGTCAAACCACAGACGTATCGTTTCCACGACTGAAGAGTTGATTTGTGGCAAATTAGGGGGTTCAGTCACTTTTCAGCAGAGTCAAAGAGCAAAGAACTGAGCACACACCCCTGAGGAACTCGGGGATATTTTCGATTGATTTGACTGAGTGTAACTCTAAAATCAAGTTACAAAGTGAGAAAGTGTTGGATTCTCAGGTGACAAAAAGCAGAACCATTGCACAGCTGATTTTGTTCTCCAAGTTAGTTCTGCTGTAGGTGGGATAAAGCGGCAAAGAAATGTGATCTGCTGTTGTTCACTGCATCATTTTTGTAAATCCTGACGAAATATGCAAACTGTAGAGGCCTGACATGTGTAGAGAGGTCAATTTTAAAGCTACTGAGACACTTCCTTCAGTTAAGTGCCACAGTCTTGCAGACACAGAGGCATGTTTCAGCTGCTTTTTCTGTCACAGGGACAATAGTGCTGATTTTCTTTACCTTAAACCAAGGCAAAAATCAATATTGTGATTTGGAATACAGTGTTGGAAATAGTCTTACACTCTGTACCTTTCAGAGATTTGTTCAGCATTTAGTGCTTTGACTTGCATGAATCAATGAACCTCTTCCTCTCCAACTGCAGAGTGGTCATGTTTCCAGGTTTTCCAGGAAAATGGCTCACTGCTTTCATAACACCCCCCCCCCCAAAAAAAAAAATATATATATATATTCGGCTTGATTAAAGCAGAACTCTCAAAAACACACAAGGGAGATCTTGTCTCAGGAAAATAGGTAATAAGTGTTACAAGGTTAATTTGATTAAAAAAAAACAAATATTCAACCACTCAATAGAAATTAATAGGTTTTACCAACAATGATTTATTTAGAAAACGCAGAATTTTAATGCTTAATAATAGTTATCTTGATACCTAAATCATTAAACCAAAACCCTCCAAAATAATCATAGGTCTGATTCTCCTTGCTTGGGTTGAGTCATCAACCAAACTTAAATAATTGAATGTCCCAATAGTCCTGCTCCTTTTTTGTGAGAATTTTGTCCATAAAAGAGTCCCATAAACTCAAAATCAAAACAACGTCCTGGAAGCGTCTCTCGTATTAATCCCCAGTCTCCATCCCGAAAGAAAAATCCAAAACGTCAAAAAGCCCCAAAAACGATGAGAAAAAAGCAGAGTGGTACCACCAAAAAAAACCCAAAAGTAAAACAAAGTCCAGATCTCACCCGGAGCGTCCCTTTTCCCCCCCGGTGGCTTTGTCCACACACTGGCGTCGTCCTTTTGCACCGGGCGGCGTTTCTTGGGTGCAAACTTCGGTCTAGTGTCTCGGGCACGATCTGCCTTAATCGTTGTTTTATCTTTTCCGTTAGTTTTTTTCTCCTTGGTTTAAACAATCAATAAAGCTAAAACTCCCTCTGCACAGATCTGAACATGAGTGTCTTACTTGCTGACTGCGCCGCGCCTCGCCGTCGCACACGCCCCCTTTTCATTACTAATTTTTCACACACCTGGCCCCAAACATGATTTACCCAAAATCAGTTTTTAACAGTGGAAATTCGAAATATTTTTTCATAATGAAATCCCCACAACTGTTCCACAAGACAGTTTGCTATTTTTGACATTTAATATAGTTATTGGAAAAAACAAACGTAGTGGTTATGTTACAATGCTGTCTGTCTACATCAAACCTCTGTCAGATTTAATGTTGTCGCCTCTGTCTGTTTCAGTGCCACGAATGGAATAGCTCAACACCCACAGGAACGCGTCAGCAGTTTTGTGTTGAAGTAATAGACCGAAATACTTCAGAAGCTGAGGAAAACCTAAGACATTAACAGGCACTGCCAGAGGTTTTCATTGTGTTTCTTTGGTCTGTTTTCTGCTACGGCTTCTATTTTTGGCAGTGCACTTCACCCGCACCCATCTGATCCATCACTTTGTAGACACCCTCAGCGAGAAAGTTGTTGCAAAGGCAGCATGACCCACTTAAAGCCTTTTGCATCACCAAAGACTGTTGCACGTGATGTCAATGATTAATGCGTGTTTACAGTATGCAAGACCATTTCTGCTGAGATTATTTCTTTCATTTGCGCTTGCTGGACCTTAGCGACTTTAGTGTGATCAAGAAACGAGTGCCTATGAAACCCATAAAGACATTTTTGTTGAGTGGCCTTCTTTGTCGCTAAGGAGGAGCAGAGTTCCTCCGTTTGATAACTGACACCATCCTGTGAGCTGATATGATGGTTTACCTATTAGAGCCCTTAAAAAGCCTTATTCTTCTGTGTTTCTCTTCGGCTCGACCTTCTGGCCAAACACTTTGCATTATCAGGTGTCATCATCACTAACACACCACCTCCTGTTCCTCCAGTTTCTTCTGTTTCAGCCTTTCAGGTTGCGGCTCATTGAATCTGTCGAGCCAAGTTGCAAGTAAATAACTTTGAATGAAGGAGTCTTTTGTTATCTTACGTGTCCAGTGGAAAGAAATACTTTTTGGACAAAGCATATATTAGATTAGATTATGTTGGTAGTTCTAGGCTGAAACATTTCAAACATTTCGCACCAGATTTAAAGTTTATGGTCTTGCCATTGCAATACTTAAAATTGAAGTGTACTCCAATGTTAAAGGTGAAGGTAGTTTTATTCATGTGGCACATTTTCAGCAACAAGGCAATGCAAAGTGCTTTACGGGAATTAAAGGGAAATACAAACAAAATAACAAAATCAAAAGAAAAGAACAAAAGAAGAAAATAAATCTAATGTCGATCTGATGTATGTGAACAAGGTGCTCCTGTTCAGGGTTGCTAAGGATCTTCTGGTCTTATTTCATGTCTGGATTGGAAGAACAGGAGTCTAAAAAGTAGTCTAATAATGTTGATTCCAAGTACATAAACCAGAGAAACTATTGTTTTGTTACAGGCTCCATTGACAGTCCAAGCCCAGTTGTGATTGTAGCGCCACCCCAGAATGCCACGGTGGTGCTCGGCCATCCTGCCGTGATGGAGTGTGTGGCACACGGCCAGCCAAAACCATTGGTGTCATGGAGCAGACAAGGTGGGACTTCCAAAGGTTTCCACTCGCTTCGAAAGTGAGCGGAAATTTATTTTCTTCTCAGCTTCTGGTGCTACCTGTCTAGTCCGCTTGGTGTCATTCAATGCCCCGAGGCGTCAGTACCTGCTAGACTTTTCCTTTTTCCTGGTGTATCGCCAAAACCAAATTAAACCTTAAGAACCCAAACCTAAGCCTCACCCTATCCACTTTCCTTAAACTTTGTTGATGAGAAGTTATAAATTCGCCTGTTTGCAGTAACTTGGACATGCTTTCCTTTGTGCACATGCTACCCGGTAAGAAAGTCACAACTTTAAAATGACCACATGCTTATTTTAAGAGTGTGGTTCCTGCATCCAGACATCTCTGCGAACCCAGTCCAAGAAAAATCAGAGAGCCCCCTGTTGGTCATTTTGTGAGGTTTCCTATCCGATCCCGCCTCGTGTTCTTCAAAGCATTTTCTTCCTGTTACATCTCTCTGGCGTTTATAAGACAGCAAAGAAAAATCTCTTCTCCTGTCAGTCGCCAGCAGCAGTTTTCCTGTGCTGATGCTCCACATCGCTTTCTCTTTTGATCAGACGGAAAGCCCATTTCCAGAGACGTGATTGTCCTTGCCACAAACCTGGTGATTAGAGACACGAGGCGTCACCATGCCGGCGTCTACGTCTGCCGAGCCAACAAGCCCAAAACTAGAGAGTTTGTCTTTGCTGCTGCCGAGTTGCACATTGCCGGTAAGAGTAATGTCACACCATCTATCTGCTGCCTTTTATCTTGAGATATTTCTGAGAGCTGATTGAGTGAGAATAGTCCCCGTCAACATCTTCACGGAATTGAAGGCCTATTGTAATTTACAGCATTAATTAAATGGGGAAACTGTCAAAAAAGCATAATATTTTGAAAATGTGAAAATAATAGATTTTCTTTTGTGTGTGCATAACAAGCTCTTCTTTAAAACTGCAGCCTGGATTTGAGCTGCAGCTCTTAAGGGTTCTCCACGTTCTTCTCTGAACAGCCCCTCCAGTGATTGTACAGCCCCCGGAGTCTGTGTCCCTCTCCCGGGGGAACACCGCCAGGTTTCTATGCAACAGCTCTGGGGAACCTTTCCCAGTGCTGCACTGGCTGAAGAACGGCCAACCCATTAGATCCTTCAGGCGGGTGAAGGTGCAAAGCCCTGGGGTCCTGCTCATCAACCAGCTGGCTCAGGAGGACGCAGGTTACTATCAGTGCATCGCTGAGAACGTGCTCGGGACGGCCTGCGCCACTGCCAGGCTGACGGTCATCGTGAAGGAAGGTCTCCCCAGCCTCCCTCGCCGCCTGACTGCTACGCCGTACTCCAGCACAACGGCCCTGCTCTCCTGGGAGAAACCCGAATACAACACGGACCAAATCATCGCCTACTCCGTGCACTACCAACTCACTGCAGGTTTGCTTTTAGTCTTTTTTTCTTTTTTTTTTCTAAGTGGATGTGGTAAGGAGCTAAAAACTAAAACAAATCCACGTATTTGATATGAATTTCATTTGTTTTAGGGTCAGATAATCAGGACTCTTCATTCGCAGTCAGCAACAACACCACAGAGTATCTCGTCAAAGAGCTCCTCCCCCACACTGCCTACACTTTCTTTGTGGTGGCTTATTCGCCCATGGGAGCCAGTCCTCCATCGCTGCCTATAACCATAGAGATGCTTGAGGATGGTGAGTACCTCAACCTTCGTAAAAGGCAAATGAAACTGAACTCATAAATGAAGCAAAGAATCACAAAGTGAGGTCATTCTGCTCTCCAATTGGAAAGCCGCATCAGATCCTGCATGCTTTAAGCCGTGTCTGTGTGGCAGCTTCATGTGAGTGATGCAGGTGTACTCAGAGGATAACAATCAGCGAATTTATCCGGGGTTGGAACACGAACAGACCTTAAAAGCTCAGCTGTGACATATGTTCGGCTGCAGGACTTCACAAATGATCAATGCTGCCCACGCCAAAATGCTGTAGATTTTGTAGTTACCTACAAACACATTGTGTTTTTCAATTTCACTTTGCTTATACAAATGGATCTTATTTTTTAATTTTTTTTTTTATTTAACCAGAACTCTGCTGTGTTGTCATGGCCTCTCAACATTTTCGGACTTACCGCGCACAGCAGTCAGCTTGGCTTGTCTCTTCCTTTCTGCTTGTAGTTCCGAGTGCACCTCCTCCGCTGTCCGTCGCCAGCGCGTCCCCCACTGACATCAGGCTGACGTGGCAGCCGCTGACTTCACAGCACAGCCGTGGGGCCGTTACCCGCTACCGCATTGATTACAGCGCGCTGGATCAGAGTGAGTAATCTTCACCGATTGAGAAACTCAACGCTTTTTTTGTGGCCCCCCGAGAATGACTGAAAACTGATTTGTGGATCATAGCAATAATAATTAGACCTGCAAGCAGTTATATATGGGCTCCAAGCCCAGCCTACCGAGTCCACTCCCCCCATCCCTCAAAGCCCCGCCCTCTGACATAACCTCTTAGCCACCGACTTCTTCTTGTTGCAGGTTGATTAGTTTAACCAGTTCAATTCTCCATGGACTTTATTTCCATAACAATTTTCCGTAGATAATATAAAGCAGAAACAGCACATCTATTTTGGAAATAATTTGCACAATTCTCTTTTGCAAGACAATTATAATTAAACAAAAAAAAGGACCTGTCCACTTTCTCTTTCAAAAGACCCCGTGGCCTTTGAGAAATCAGAGTGTGCTCTGTATTTTCCACAGAGGACACTGTGTTCTCGGTGGAGCTGAGGGGCAACGAGACTCAGTTCACGCTCAGGGAGCTGCGCCCAAACCAGGTCTACCGACTGAGGATAGCTGCCGGAACCGCGGTGGGCTTCGGCGTTCCGTCTGAATGGGTCGAGCAGCAGACGATAGTTCGCAATGGCCCCAGTGACAACAGCACAGGTGAGAGGGTTCACGGCTCACTCGTGTCCCCATTTGCTATACGATAATTACTTCATGCGTCCTTTTGAAAACCATGGGATACAAAAAGTGGGCAACATATCACTGTCTTTACGGGAAAAAAAATGAAGAAACAGTCTTGATTATGGCAATAAATGAAATGAAAACAATGTTTGGATAACGTTAGGTCATCCTTCTGCCAGGACGTTTGAGAGCACTTCCTGCTTCAAACTCTTTATTTTTATTTTCTAACAAGGTGTGGCACCAGATTCATAATTAAATTTTGATTTTGGCTCAAACCGATCACACCAATAATGTAAAAAGCAAAACGACATCTTTTAAAAGTTGTACTGGCTTATTTCAGTGAGCTGAGTTGAAGAAGGGGGGTGAAGTGTTGCAATGGGCTAATCTTCACTTTTTTTCTTCTTTTTTTTAAAATCTTTTTCCAGTTATATTTGCTCCTTCTGAGCTGAAGGTCAGAACCAGAGTGACCACTCTTAATGTGACATGGCAACCCTCACCAAATCACACGCTGGTTTCTGGCTACAAGCTCTCCTATCGAGAAGCGGAAACTGATGAGTTCTCCATCACAGACAGAACGTCGCAGGTGCACACCATCAGGCTTCGGAAGAAGGCGAGGCATCACCTGCTGACGGGGCTCGGTAAGACGTTGGTCGTTTCTGAAATCCAACAATACGCTGCTTGGACAGACCTTTGTGCTACTTTAAAAGTTTGTCTCTCCGGGTTCTTCCTCTGCGTTTTATTAGCTCCTGACCGGCAGTATGAGGTGAGGGTCTGGGCATTTGACAAGCAAAAGGACGGAGCAGCTGCAGTGTGGAAGGGAAGGACGGATAAGCTCCACGGTAGACGTAAGGCTCCCTTCAGAGGGATGCATCTCTGAGCAGTAAAAGAACCCAACATGACGGCTGCATGTGGATGACGGCAGAACAGCATTTGCACTTTCTGGCATTCAAGGGAGTGACGCTACGCTTGTGTTGCAGACTCTGGGCCGTCCTCGTCCCCTCCGTTGCCCCCTGGCAGCATCCAAGCTACGGCCAACAGCTCCACCTCCATCTGGCTCCGTTGGGAGAAACCTCGGTTCATCAATGTGCGCATCATCAACTACACAGTGCGCTGCAGCCCAGCAGGAACCACCAACGCCTCTCTTGTCTCTTATTACAGCAGGTCGGAAGACCAGGATGAGTATCTGAGACGGTTTTTGGTATTGTTAAAATGAAAGTTACCATTTTTATATATCCAAATATGTTTGAAAAAACGCACAGGGCCATCACAAGGTGTTCCAGTTTTTTCACTCGGCTGCAAGTAGAACAAATTTAAGGAGAGAGACTTGGACTCAAGTTGCACATAAGTCTCAAAAATAGTGACTCTAGATGTGACGTGAACTTGTTCCCCAGAGGAGGCGATTGTTTCGTAACAAGTGAAGTTCTCTTCACCCTTCTTCCCCTCTTCTATCCTCACCTCCCTCTTTCCCTTTCAACTTTCCTCCCACTTCTCTTTCTTTTTTTTTCCCCTCTTTTTTAAGTCAGTTTTCTACTTTTGGGGAAACATAGGAAACTGACATTCAAATATGCATTCGACCCACGCTCGAACCGAGACCTCTGTTTTGAGGCAGGCCAGAGAGTGCTGTTTTGGTCTGCATCTGACTTTCAGTGCGCATACACACCTCGCCAAACAAACCAGACTCTTTAGGCAAATAAATTACAGTTTTGATCAAAGCGAAAGGCATGGGGCTGGCAGAAATGCATCCTTTGAGTTCTAAGGATCATCTAAACTCATTCTAGACAACTTTTTCCACTAAATATCACCAAAATCTCTCCTAGATGTCCATAAATAGATATTGCTCAGACTTAGTTTTGACAAAATAAAGTGCTCCATAGGAATCCTAACAACTATAGAATAGAATTAATCTAAGGTTTTGTACCAATGCCCCTCCTGACCCCAGTAGGGAAAAGGGTGTTAGAGCATGGATGGATGGATGGATGGATGGATGGATGGATGGATGGATGGATGGATGGATGGATGGATGGATGGATGGATGGATGGATGGATGGATGGATGGATGGATGGATGGATGGATGGATGGATGGATGGATGGATGGATGGATGGATGATGGATGGATGGATGGATGGATGGATGGATGGATGGATGGATGGATGGATGGATGGATGATGGATGGATGGATGGATGGATGGATGGATGGATGGATGGATGGATGGATGGATGGTGGGTTGGTTGGTTGGTTGGTTGGTTGGTTGGTTGGTTTTGGGTGGTGATTGACTGTCTTGATGTTGTTCAGTTCGTCTTTGGAGATTCTGCTCAGGGGACTGAGGCCCTTCACCCACTATGAGCTGGCAGTGCGGTCCAATGGAGCGAACGCTGCAGGGCCCTTCAGCGGCACCGTGGTGGAGGCCACCCTGCCTGACCGTGAGTATCCTCAGAGCTGCACAAATATGACAAGTATGAACTTTCTTGCATGCTCTTGGTGGAAAAATAAATTTTTTTTAAAGTCTCAGCTCTTTATTTTGATTTTATTTTTTGGGGTCCTCTCTTTGACGCTAACACTCATAAGCTCCTTCTTTTGAGCGAGTTGATTAAAGAAATCTAGCTGATAATATCTCTTGATGAAAAGCAGCAAGTAACAGAGTCGGTGAGCGTTTGCTTTTTGTTTTTTTGAAGTTGATCTTTTTTATCTGTTCCAGTAAAAGTTAGGTTCACCTTGCTCTTTTTTTGGAGGCCTGAATAATCTGCACTGTGTGTACCTCTGGCAGTTTGATGGATCATGCTATATATGGAAGTAATTATGTGCAGAGAGCAAACCAGTAAACGAACCGATTGGATGGGGATTCGCAGTTGACAGGGGTTGCTAATAACTGACTGACTAATTAAACGCACAGGTGTGAAAATGGCCAATGACCGCTGTTTGCTGAATTTGAATGAGGGGTGGGTTATATCGTTCTAGCGCCAGCTAACCTCTTCACATTCTCTTCCATCGTGCATCATCACCTAAGCCTCTTCCTGCCCCCCCTACCCCACCCTCATAATATATCCTCTCTTGCACCCAGGTGGCAGGGACATGAGGACACAGATGGCTATCACACAGCGAGTCAAATCCCCCACCAAGACAATAAACTCTCCCCAGCTGTGTGAGGCTTCATTTTCTGGGCTCTGATGACTTACCTGATCCTCTCGTCTCCCTCAGGCCCGTCCACACCACCTGAGGAGCTGCAGCTGAGAGCTCTGAACTCCTCGTCTGTGCTGGTGAGTTGGCGCCCTCCGCTGGAGCCAAATGGCATCATCGTCTGCTACAAGGTTTTGTACACCGTCAACCAGAGCGAGCCTGAAGACGAGTGGAGGAATCTCTCCGAGGGCGGTATGTTCTCTAGTAGCAATTGCACGTTGAAGCATGTTCATAGTTGAGACACTGGATGCAGCTGTTTGTGTCGGTCATGTTCTCTTTCTCAGGGGGCATCTTTAGTGTGGAGGTCCACGGTTTGTCAGGGGGAACCCGGTACTTCTTTAAAGTGGGAGCTTCCACAAAAGTGGGATCAGGGCCTTTTTCACCCGTTTCGGAGGTTCATACTCCCCTGCCCAAGTATGGTATGAATATTTCTTCTCTGCTTCAGCTAAACGCCCCACAGTCCTGCCCTTCCTGAAAACTAAAACGACAACAAAATGGAAAATATACATTGACGCCGGCCCAGTTTCAGTTATCGATAATGATGCGAATGCTAATGCAGGTATATTGCATATTAGTCAAAGCACAAACTCAAAACTATCTTAGGGTTTGGGGCAGGACTTGAAGTTTAATGTTCAGAGATTTTTTTCCATCCGATATGTCTGAGCTTGGTCTGGTAAATCATAATATTCTTTCCTCATGTGGAAAATTTCACTCACTTGTGAAACAATTGAGAATCGTGCACTTCTTTGCATTACGCTCTGTGACATAAGGCATCAACGAGAACGTTTGAAAACTTTACGCAATGCATTGAGCCAGGACCTGAGAAACTGTCGAGCAAACAAAATAGTCTTTCACTCTTCCCTATCTTTCACTTAGAAACTTTTCGAGCAGAGTAACACTCTTGTTTGCATGTGCCATTGTGAATGGAACTGGAGATGTGTGGGTGGCTGAGTTTTTCTGCCATCTGTTTTTTTTCCTCTACTGCTAATCCACACTGCCAAGACCCAGTATGAATGAATATGAACGAAGGATCTGCTCTCCACAAATCCAACACAGCCAAATATCTCGACGGCGCATTGAAAAATAAGTCCATCCTGTCTCAACTGCGTTGATTTCAATTTAGCCATCATTCCAGCCACTGCAGCGTTCCCCGAAGCTAGAATAAAAATGTTTCCAGTGATTTATGAGTCAAATATGAAACTCGGTAGTGGGATCAAACATTTTCTACCCATTTTCTGTGCTACGTTGTTGTAAAATTGTGAAATTTGTATATTTATCCTAATAGGTATCCTAATTTTTTTCTGCTTTGCCTGTTTTACCAGAGCTGGACATTCACACAGTCACAGGCATCATAGTCGGTGTTTGCTTGGGACTTATTTGCATCCTCCTCTGTATGTGTTTCAGCTTTCGAAACAGCAAACCCAGGTCAGTGTTTGCACTCTAAGCATGTTTTCTATTTTGGTCGCAATTCCTAAGAACACCCTGAACACCTCGATAAATTTCAGTCCAACTAAAAGGTGAAACTGCTATATTTGACGGCTTTTTAGAAAGATATGTTAGAAGCATTTATTTTTGTCGTTGTCGATAACTACGGGTTTTAGTAGATGAAATCAGAAAAATCGGTCTCTTCAGAGATTTTAATATTGCATCAGATGGTTATGAAAGCGTTGCTCGGAAGGTCAAACAGCTCTGCGCCTCCTGAACCTGTGATTTTTAAAGTAGAAAAAAAATTGTGGTTAGAACATCAAGTCGGCTCAGACAGCTGATTCTTCTTCTTCCACTTGGGGCTCTTACAGTCTTGTCAGTTTTCCCATTATGTAGATTTCTTCATTAATTCCAGCCCATCGGTTTAGAGTCTCTGCTTCCCTCTGTCACAAGTTCCTTGTTATTGCAAGTCTTCATTAGAATTTCAACTAAATATGTATTATTCCTGAACAGAAACATCCACAAGCAAATTATATGAGAGACGTTTTTCTTTTTGTTGTTCTTACATTTTATCAAAATTGTTTTATCTTTGAACATGTCCTTAATATATGAAAAATAGTTGGAAAATTTAGGAGAGTGAGACAATACACACAAACATACACACTTATATATGTGAATATACATATATATATATATATATATATATATATGTATATGTATATATGACGTTTTCTGTAAGAATTCCCTTTACTTTGATATTTTTATGAAATATATTAATTTTATATCAATATTTCATCCTCTTTCCATCTTTTTTTTTGTTTACATTGTCACTTGAGTGAGTATGTCTTTGTTAATTTATGGTAATTGGCATTGGATTGTTGATGCACAAGGAACTAAGACGTCACAAGATTCTCCCTTGTCCACTGTTTTTATGTCTTCTTTATTGTAATAATCTCTTGCTTATAGATCTCTAAATAATGATTATTCAAGTCATAGTTATCTTTAATTTTCTGGAAGCCTTTCAATCGTCCTCTGATCTCCAAAGCCCTTCCTGTTGTGACCCCTCCAATGTGTGAATGAGCGATCTTAAGACGAGGTCAAATGTACTGTAAAGCTTGTAAATCTCGTATTTGTCTTTGTGTTTTTTGCCGATCATGGCGACGCCTCCGGAGTGTTAGTCTCCTTGTCTAACGGTCAGATTCCTCCCCCACACAGAGAGCTGTCTGGAGGCCTGAGCTCCACAGCTGCGACTCCTCAGTGCAGGAAAGGCGGCTGCCCTGCTCCGGCCAGTGCGCCCGGGTGCAGCGACAGCCACGAACTGGAGACGCTGATGCCTCCAGGCACCCAGGAGTCGGGTCAGCAGCCAACAAAAGACCCGGAGGAACAGAGTCTGATGGCAAGTTGTAATCCATGGTGAAACTGGGGACGATGCTCCTGCACATGAATTGAATGTCAAAACCTTCAATGAGAGGCGAGGAGGAGGGGGAAGCCTGTGGTTCTTTACGTCTTTTTTTTTTGTTGTTGTTTGTTTGTGTGTGTGTGGTGTGTGTGTGTGTGTGTGTCGATAAAGTGACTAGTCACACTCTGATGCCTCCGATTGTGCTCGTTTCTCTCGCAGACTGCTTGGAACGGCTCTGTGAGTCATAACTGGGTCAACAGGATCACCCGATACAGAGACACCATAACAGAAGAGTCTCCGGCGCTGACTAACGGAGCGCTCAACATGTTCATTACTGCGACTGGCACGGTAAAGCAACCAGTCATACACACTGAGTTTTAGGTTTCAAATATGAGTCTCTTGCTTTTTGTTAGAAATACCAGTTTTCCTCTTTGCGATAAAGAGTTTATGTCTGGGACAGAACATGGAAACATATTTTTGCAGCTTCGAAGCAGACATATATTTTATTATCAGCAGATTCAAGATGATATCATTTCTTTTTCTTAGTTCTCACTTTCGTCTTTAATATTTTCATCCATTCTTAGTGAGGTCTTCCTTACCCACCCTATGACTTTATTGATGCCAGGCATGTTTTGTTGCCAGCAATCCAATTAAGCCAACATCACAGTCAATAACTGACATTTTAATCCATTCAGATGTCGGACATTAACAAGGTGGCAACAAACTCCACCTGGATGATTTTTTTATACAGCTGAAAAGGTTGAGGACAGGGTTGGTACCGAAGAAAGAAAGGGAAAATAAATGTGTTTAATTATGTTCGTGTCAAGGGGCAAATCCAACCATTACTTGTAATTATTTAGATCCTAATTGTTTTTTCCCTTTAATAAAGCTTGTTGAAGCTCATTTAAAAGGTTAGGGGTTTTGTGACAGTCACACTCCTGGCTTGAAGCACTTTTTTGGAATTCCAGCATTTAGTTGAAGGCCAAGCCAACGACTCACCATGGCATTCATCCAAGCAGAACACATGTGACTAAACTCTGATATCTGGAAACTTCGATCCTCCTACGGTGAAGGAGAGGACGGTGAACAGAATCCAGACTTTTCCAGGGCATGCATCCTACAAATGTGTGTTTTTGTTTTTTACGAGTGAAGAGTAGCAAATACTTGTCAGACTGTGAATTTTGCCGACCTTTGCGCCCCTGACTGCACCTGTCCAACATTTTGCATCTGGTGCATTGGAGTGTTCCCATCATATGACACACTTTTTAAAAGTGGAGACATAATCCAACGATCGATGGTTTCTTATTTCTGGCATTTGAGATTTCCTCCATTGAGTTCAATGCTATTGACAAACTGATCTGAATCCATATCAACTTTTGGTTGGATGTGTTTAAACAAAAGTACTAGGAAAATTCACACTTTGCACATTTTTGTACTTTCATTTGGGTTTCTACTGCTTCCAAACCCGAGCACTTAAAAAAAAAAAAAACACCCAGCAAAGGTCAGCACGTTTTGCTAGCTGGTTTTACTGCTGTATACACTATACAATGACCACTGGAAAAGATAAGCACTTTGTTGTTGACTTAATGTTCAGCTGGATTCTTGTTGGCTGTGCAGCAGGCTCTACTTTTGCTTTTCAAAGACAGAAGGTTGTAGAATTGCTTATCTGCTTGCAGGCTTTCTTGAATTCAAGTGTAAATGTTGTTTACACTTGAAAAATGTAATGAACAATGTTTTGTGTAAGCTAAACGGACCTGTCCTAAGTTTCCAAAGAACAAGGAACCTTTCCAAATGGTTCAAGAGAATCGCTAAATGAAAGCCCTAAAAATAACAGCGGCCTCATTGTGTTACAGGAAACCGACGATCATCTCTCCGCGTCTCTGTGCAGTAACCAGGTGGAGGCAGAAGTCATTGTACACTCTGAGTTGTCAGACCCCAGCGGGAGGGGGAAGGAGGAGGGCAGCGAGCGGGATTCCAACGCCACCCGGGGGCCGTCGTTATCAGGGGACGCGTATTCCCCTCTCAGCCGGCCGGGTTCGCCGAGAGAAGAGGCGGGGCCCCTTGAAGACCTTTCAGCGGCTGAAAGTCCCCCGAGTCTTCCCGCGAGAACATTGGCGGCTCGTCACAATGAGGAGGCGGAAGGCGCCGGGCAGCAGCAGAACGCCGACAGGGAGCCACAGCTGGACACTTGTCTCACCAATGGCTTCCACTCTCCTAAGACTCTGAGGCCCGTACTGAAATCTGAGCATGTGGAAGTGGAAGACTCCAGACCCTGCCCGTCTGCTGCAGGGAAGGCCATCTCTGCCGGACTACCTTCCGCACCCTTTGTCACCCCCGGCTTCGTCCACTCTACCTCAGCTGCTCACATATATCTGTGCCCTTAACTTCATCTTCGCAGGGACATTTCAGACTATTATCATTATTTTTTTAATTTTCCAGGAAGAATCCATGAAGGGAAAAAAATATTTTTTATGCACATTGTCACTGGATTTCTTTCTCTTCCTTGCATAGTTTTATAGATACTTTGAATCCATCATTTCACATATGTGTATACCGTATACATGAGAAGAAGTGTTTTCTTTTTCTGCAGAGGTCCGGAACTGTTTGAAGTTCTACATCCTTGTGGATTCTTTCCACATCACAAAAAGGAGACGGGAAAGTTTAGATATCAGCAGAGCAGAACCCGAGAGAACACCTTCTGCAAACCGGACAAAATTGGTTCCAATCAACTCGGCTATGTTTGTGCAGCTGAAGTTTTTGTTTATGCTGCTGTGGCTTCGAAGCTATTAATGAAAGTTTAAAGGTCAACCGGCTCCCCCTCTGACCTACTTTCACTAAATCAAAATGAAATGAAACTTTCATTAATCTCTTCGAAGCCAAACCAGCACAAATGTAGTCAAGTCGACTGACACAATTTGAAGAAAGGGGCTGGAGAGGCGCTGGTTGACCTTTCATGACCCCTGGGAACATTTCTCAGTGTCTTTGAAATGGTATCGGCACGAGCGAAGATGTTTTGCTGCACAAACATTTCACACCAAATTTGCCTGATTTGACAAGAGGCTGTGGGGCAACCTGACTCAGGTCAGAGCAGGAGGGAGTGAATTACAGATGGGCTCCTCCTATTGGTGGTGTTTAGTACGTCACAACAGGAAGTGATGGAGTAATCGGACGGGGTTTCATCAGGGTGGGTTGCTTTATCGATACCCCCTCAAAGTGGCATTGAGAAATGACCTTAAAGAGTATTCACGAATGTCAGAGTGCAGAACACCCACATCCTGCAGTCTCAGGGTCCAAACACTCACACAGGGATTCCAGTCCAGCGTACCGAATACAAACATTTCCTGAGTGGAGGGTCTCGGGTGCCTCTGTAACCTCTGTATATTTTCTATTCAATGCGAGTACAAACCATGTCAAGAGTGAAGTGAACAAGGTTCGGTAGATGTGGGGCCACGTGTCCGTCTCGCATTAAAATCAAGAGTACCTCAATGTAGACCTGGGCTGCATTAAGCTGGAGGGAAAACAAAACGGGAGGGTTTTACAGCAACCCATCTGCAGGCCACTCTCCTGATTTAGCTCGGCAGGGATGCACCTCTGTCCACACCGATGTCAGAACACTGTCACACAAAAATTGAAACTCTTCCAACGAGCCTGTTTGGTAGCTCAAAAAGTGTTTGCCCCCTTACAGATTTGTTTTTCGGTTTGTTTGGGGTATTTTTGTGTCAAAGTTAAATGTTTCAGATGATCAAACTAATTTTAACATCTCACAAACATAATCAAAGTAAATACAAAAGGCTTTTTTAAAAAAAAATTTAAGTTGATGAATAAAAGTTTAGTGAAAGTCAATTTAGCTCTTTTGGAGGGTATTCGAGTACGAACGGCGCGTTTTGAGGTCACACCACAGCAGGATCTGTGAATACGACACGTGTGATGTCACTTAGCCGAATGCTGTTTCAGCTTTGTGTCAGACTTACTGGGAAGCAGAACTTTCCAGAGTTTTTCATCTGTTCCAAAAGGCTTTTTTTGTTGTTGTTTCTCTTATTTTCTGAGAGTGGGGGTGAGGTTGTAAGTTTGAATTCCTTTTGGTCAGCAGTGGTTTTGGATGCGGAACTCTTGCATGAATTCAAATTTCACCTGGTTTTTCTTATTGTTGGAGGACAAAGATTGACCTCAGCTCCTGGGGACGTTTGCCACCGTTTCATGCTCTGTCCATGTTGTGGATAACAGCTTTGACTTTGGTACAAAAAGCCTGAGAAATCCAACCAGACTGATGGTTGTCAATAACTTTGTAATCTGTGCTGGAATTTATTCGGGCAGGATTTGTTTTTAAAAGCATTTATCCTACTTCATGTTGTGGGACAGGTTCTGTTTGACTGATCTTTTGATTCTACAGTTCTAGCTATAATTTGCCCTTTCACTTAAAGGCCAGTTAATTCATAGTAATAATAATAACAATCATACTTCAACAGTAAGTGTTGGACAGTGCATTGAGCTTTTTGGGGAATTCAAAGACACTTAACTCACGACTTAATAAGGGGGACGGGTTGTATTGGATAACTGTCCCCCTCTGAATAAAAGGATTTGTCATTTGAAAACTCCTCTTTAGATTTGTGCCATTGATTTGGTGATCTGAAACATGCAAGACTGACAAAAAGGTAAGAAAAAAAAAGACATCTACAAGGGAGCAAATATTTATTTAGAGCAAAATCTATGGAAAAATGGCCCCAGTTTTTGTACTTGTGTTCATGTGATTTTGAATAAAAAACATAAACATGTTGGAGATATTTCTTGTATTTTTGGCCCGATCCGTTTCGATGTCATTAATGGTTGGAGCAGTGTTCACATGGACTGGTGCATCCCTCTATTTTTTTTTTGTCTCAACATCACTACCTCATTTCTTTTCAGAAGGGTTGTTCTATTCATTTTACCCTAACACCTGCGTCTTTATACGACAATTTTTCTAAACTCGTCCGACGTTCGGCGCAAGCTCGAGGTGTTATATCAAAAACAAGGAATGTATGTCCATTTGCCATTTGTGTGAAAGTCCCGTTGCATTTTTCTGTGCTCGACCAAAAGCCTTCGCCCTCGGTGGCCGCTTCGTCAAATCTGAATGTTTGCTTGAGATGTTTCAGTGGATGTGGGCCTGAGGCCTTTATGGGTTTTTGACAGTTCTGCAGCTCAATAGTTGCAGCTGGTGTCATTGTTCTGTAACAACTTTCAGCTGCTGCTTCAGTTCTGCCCTTTATTATAAATAGACTTTCTTAAGGCTAGTAACTCTTATGATTTGAGAGATTTTTTTTTTACTTGTGATGGAAAGAAGGTAAAAACCTTGGTTTGTAAATAGACATCACAACTTACCATCTGTGATTCTTGTATGCTAGCAATACGTCGATATCCTTTTTTTTTTTTTTTTGTAACCCAAGTTGTTTAGTAACAGGACCGACCTTCTAAATTAAAGTTTGGAAATGTGCAACAGTCCACACAGGTCCTTACAAAAATATTATTGCACCTTTTCACTTTTTGACACTTTATAGCAGCACACTTCAGTGTGTTTACCTGGGAAAGTAAATGAGCGGCCAACACCAGCGTGTTACATAAATTAAGACAAATGATTAAAAAGTTGTTTTGCTTTTTTTTGCAACAAAATGTGAAAAATATGGCATGTGTTCACATTCAGTCCCCTTTAATCTGACACAGCGAAATAAAGTATACTTGTGGTGTTCCACAAGGATGGTCCTGGGACCACGTCTGGTCGTTTTGCATAAAGTTGATTCTCATAGATTACGTGACTTCCTGATAAAATACAGCTGCTGATTTCCTTCCGAAGTTAAGAAATTAGTAAATTGTCCACCTGTGTGAACTTTCATTTTGCATAAATCCAGCTGTTCCGTGAGGAAAAGGACTCGAGGTCAGAGAGAAAGTTGTGGGGAAGTTCAGGCTAACGCATAAATGTAATTGTTTTGCCATTTTTTTTATTCATAGAACATTTAAAAAAAAGTCTTGAAATTTGTAGTGCGCCACTTTGTGCCGACATGTCACGTAAGATCCGAATTGAATGCGATGAAGTTTGCGGCTGTAGTAGCAGAATGTGAGAAAGTTCAAATCGGTGCTTGTCCTCTTTCCAGTGGTTGTTCTAATTTAGCCAGACCTGAGGCGGAACTGAGCTTCACCTTTCTTTCCTTTCCCTGTTTCTGTGCAGCTGCGACAGAGGAAAAAAATATTTCACCCTAGTTTTGGGAGTTTGAGGGGGTCTTTATAATATATCAATCAGAAAATGTGCTCCACCCTGCCCCCCCCCACCAGATTTTGGTTTGTTGCCTCAGGGCAACAATATGCTATGAGGGTACTAAAATGCCAAGGTTTTCTTTATACTGTAGTATGTATTTAATAAGTGGAATGATGAACAAACAAGCAATAAATACATTAGAATAAGTTTATTTTCAACAACAACAATTTTAACAAGTTTCCTTTCAACAAACAGCCACAAATGGTTTATCAATTAGTGCATTAGAGATTAGATGCATGCAGGTGCCTGGTAATCCACACATCCATCCATCTATCCATTTTCTGAGCACCCTTCTCCCTAACGGGGTCGGGAGGTGCTGGTGCCCATCTCCAGCTACGTTCCGGGCAAGAGGCGGGGTCACCTAGACAGGTCACCTGGACAGGTCGCCAGTCTGTCGCAGGGCAACACAGAGAGACAAACAGGACAAACAACCATGCACACACACACTCACACCTAAGGAGAATTTGGAAAGACCAGTTAACCTGACAGTCATGTTTTTGGACAGTCATGTTTTGGGATGAAGCTGGAGTACCCGGAGAGAACCCACGCATGCACAGGGAGAACATGCAAATTCCGTGCAGACAGACCCCGGGCCGGGAATCGAACCCAGGACCTTCTTGCTGCAAGGCAACAGTGCTACCAACTGTGCCACTGTGCAATCCAAACAATGACATGTATACTGCTATACCCATAAATTGTTCCAGTTCTTTTTTAGCGAGGTTCAGGTGTCACACTGAATTGCATATAAATTTGACTGCTCTACAACTACTTCCAGAATGTCTTCAGAAGAAAACATCTTGAAGTATTTGTAGGGGGAAATGATATGATCTTATTTTGGAAGGTGTTGCACAGTGGCACAGTTGGTAGCACTGTTGCCTTGCAGCAAGAAGGTCCTGGGTTCAATTCCTGGCCTGGGGGCTTTCTGATCGGAGTTTGCATGTTCTCCCTGTGCGTGCGTGGGTTCTCTCCGGGTTCTCCCGCTTCCTCCCACAGTCCAAAAACATGACTGTCAGGTTAATTGGTCTTTCCAAATTCAACCTAGGTGTGAGTGTGTGTGTGCATGGTTGTTTGTCTTGTTTGTCTCTGTGTTGCCCTGCGACAGACTGGTGACCTGTCCAGGGTGTACCCCGCCTCTCACCCGGAACGCAGCTGGAGATGGGCACCAGCACCTCCCGACCCAGATAGGGAGAAGGGTGACCAGATAATGGATGGATGATTTTGGAAGACTGGCCTGCCATTCTGGGTAATCAGTGATATTGGCACTGCGGGGTGTTCTCCAATGGGGTAACCGTGGAACAGCTTCCTGTGATACTTCATCATCTTCATTTTCCTCTTCATCCACAAACTCATTGTCATCAGGCAGGTCATCTGTTTTCAAAAGAAACCAGTAAGCATAAAAGAATAGGTCATATATACCTCTCTTCACTCACTGATGTACAAACGCACATACATGCTCATTCCATACAGTATGCTACTCTACTGACTGAACCCTGATCTCCTAACTCTCCCTCAAACCTGATTTTGGAGTCAACTCTTCCTCACTGTCACTCTCCTCTAGCTCATTGTCAGAAGGAATGAGCCTAACCGCTTGATCATGTTCCTTACGCCCATAAAATCTTTGTGCATCCATTTCCTGTGAGTAACAGTAGATAGTACAGGAAAAAATTTATTATGTTGATAACTACACATCCTTACACAACTTCATCCATGAGCATGTTATAGTTCACACAAAAGTGGTCTAACTGCACAATGTTGCCCTGAGGCAACAAATGAAAAACTGCCATTTTAGTAAAAAATGAAGACTAAAGGTGTCTTTACTCAATGAAATATGCTTTTTCACTTATTCATGCACATCGCACATATTATTTATACAAAATTATTTAAATTTAAACATGTAAAAAAGTGAAATTTATCTTACCTTCTGCTAGCGGTGTGTCCAAGTCAGCTGGGGTCCAAAAAAAGGATTGTTTCACCCCAAGACAAAGGTCAAAGCCACGCCCAGCTCAAATTTCATTGGTCACAGACATATCATCAGACTTTTAATGTGATGTTTTACTTAAAAAAATTTAAAGGGGCGGTGTGTGGGCCAAAATAGTGGTTTGTTGCCTCAGGGCAACACAATGCCATAGAGGGTTAAGACAAATGATTAAAAAGTTGTTTTGCTTTTTTTGTTTTGTTTTTTTTAGCAACAAAATGTGAAAAATATGGCATGTGTTCACATTCAGTCCCCTTTAATCTGACACAGCGAAATAAAGTATACTTGTGGTGTTCCACAAGGATGGTCCTGGGACCACGTCTGGTCGTTTTGCATAAAGTCACGTAATCAGGAAGATTACGTGACTTCCTGATAAAATACAGCTGCTGATTTCCTTCCGAAGTTAAGAAATTAGTAAATTGTCCACCTGTGTGAACTTTCATTTTGCATAAATCCAGCTGTTCCGTGAGGAAAATGACTCGAGGTCAGAGAGAAAGTTGTGGGGAAGTTCAGGCTAACGCATAAATGTAATTGTTTTGCCATTTTTTTTATTCATAGAACATTTAAAAAAAGTCTTGAAATTTGTAGTGCGCCACTTTGTGCCGACATGTCACGTAAGATCCGAATTGAATGCGATGAAGTTTGCGGCTGTAGTAGCAGAATGTGAGAAAGTTCAAATCGGTGCTTGTCCTCTTTCCAGTGGTTGTTCTAATTTAGCCAGACCTGAGGCGGAACTGAGCTTCACCTTTCTTTCCTTTCCCTGTTTCTGTGCAGCTGCGACAGTCTAACAAGCTCGACCCGAGTTATCGCATGTTCCAGAACCGCCTCGGCCTGGTTCCATCGGAAAAACAGGCTTTTCTCCAACACCTCACCTTTGTCATTTCAGATACAGTGTTGGTACATTTCAAAGTCTATTCTTTTATATATTATATGTATATATATATATATATATATATATATATATATATATATATATATATATATATATATATATATATATATATATATATATATATATATTGTGCTTCCCAGTGTATATTTGTGATTGTGTTTTATTTTCTCTGTAGTTGATTTATAGACAGAAATGAATGTTCTCAAATGATTAATTGTGATGTGCAGGAGTGAGGCGATGGTTAAAAAAAATTATATATATATATATATATATATATATATATATATATATATATATATATATATATATATATATATATATATATATATATATATATATATATATATAAACACGAACTTACAGATGTGCTGCTGCAATTGAACAAATTGAAGTGCCAAGCCGGTTTCATTTGCAGCCGATCTTTGATGTCACGGCAGATTTGTATCACTGGCTAACTAAAAAGTCAGCTGTGAACAAATCGACGGGAGGCGGAGCGTGTTGGTTGTAGCGTGTCGAGAGCAATGCACCTCGTGTTACGATGATGTGCTCTGTCCGAGAGCCGAGGCGAACCAGTAGAGCCGGGCCTGTGTCGTTTTCACCCCTGGAGATTTCTGAATACCGTAAAATCATCCTCAAGGAGACTGGATGTCTGAAAACCATTCCAGCTTTACTGTGAGCGAGTTTAGAGCTCAGAACTTGCTCAGCATGTTCAGGTATTTTAAGTCTGTTTCTTGACTTGCAGCGGCCTTTACTGTCACAGGTCACAAACTGCTCCTCCGGTTGCTTCTGTGTGCTTTTCCTTCCCACTTACAAATGTAAACTGGCAATAAAAAAATAAATAATTCTAATAATTAAAAAAAACAGCTTGGTGACAAAAAATAGGTTTTCATGTCAGAATTTCACAAAGTGCTTTTCTAAAAGTGACACTGAAGACAAAACTATGATTTTTGAGTTACTGAGTTTAGTAGAAAGTATTGAACTGGTCAGGTGGAAATTGTAAAAATTAGTTTTTTTTTTTTTTTTGTTAAATCATTGATCTGGTTGTAATGGACCCCAAACTATGATGCATCCAGTTGTGAACAGCAAAGATGAATTCTTAACTTTAACTCCCAGGAACCTGTTAATATTTCCTTTTCTGCGTTGCCCTTTGATTTGATTGGCTTCCTCTTTGCCTCTTGTTTTTCGTTTTGCATAAATCTGTCCCTCTCACAATTACTGGGATTGTGGCGGCAGCGTAGGTTGTAATGCAGGTGCAGCCACAGCATTTCTCATACGTCTGTTTCCCTGTTGATCGGCTTCGGCGGCTAAATTTTACCCGAAATCCGTGCTGCACAGCCACCATGCAGAAAATGATCAGGTACCTGTAGATATGCTCAACTGCTTTATTCCTTCTGTGAGGTCGGTAGAAGCAAATGTGTTGAAAGTTGTTGTTTTTTTCTGCAAGGGTAACGTTTATTATTTCTGATTTTCACTTTACGACAAAACAAAAACCCACTGTGTCGTGTTCTGGCCGACAACCCCAAATCTAATGTGAATTTGACTCATTTGACAGAAAAACATCTGTCCAGCAGCTCAATTAATCATTTTAA